GAAAGACATCCATGCTCAAGGATAGGAAGAACAAACATTGTGAAAATGTCCATTCTCCCAAAACTGTTACACAGATTCAATGCAATCCCAATGAAAATACCATCAACATACCTTATAGATCTAGAGAAATCACTCCTAAAATTCATCTGGAACCATAAAAGACCTAGAATATCAAAGGCAATTCTAAGCAGCAAAGGCAAGGCAGGAGGCATCACAATCCCTAACTTGAAGTTATATTACAGAGCAACAGTAGTAAAATCAACATGGTAGTGGAATCAAAACAGAGCCAAAGATCAATGGAATAGATTAGAAGATACAACCACAACTACAAACACACTCAACCACCTTTGATAAAGGAGCCAAGCAGGTTCACTGGAAGAACGATAGTCTCTTTAATAAATGGTGTTGGAAAAAGTGGCTCTCCATTGCTGAAAACTAAAACTAGACCCATGCCTATCACCATGTACTAAATTAAAATCTAAATGGATCAAAGATCTGAATATTAAAACAAAAACACTAAATCTATTGGAAGACAAATTATGTAGAAAACTTGAAGACATAGGGGTAGGTAGAAAATTCATGAACAGGACTCAAACTGCACGGGAAATACTTCCCAGAATCAATAACTGGGACCACCTCTTATTAAAAAGTTTCTGCATGTCAAAAAAAAATCTCCAGCACAGTGAAAAGAAAACCCACAAACTGGGAAAAAATTTTAGTGAACTCCCCCTCAGACAAGAGACTTTTGTCTAAAACATATTAAGGATTAAAAAAACTCAGACCCCCCAAATTCAAAAATCCAATCCAAAAATGGGCATCTGAGATGAATACACACTTCTCAGATGAAGAAATACAAATGGCAAATAAATACATGAAAAAATGTTTGTCATCACTGGTCATTAGGGAAATGCAAATTAAAACCACACTGAGATTCCGTCTCACTCCTGAAAGAATGGCCAAGATCAAGAAAACCACTCAGCCCGCCCCCACCTACTATGTCCCAGCATTTGCCCCGCCCACTCTGCATGTTCCATGTCAGCCCGCCCCTGCACGCTGTGTGGTGGTGCTCATCTTGCCCCAAGCACAACTCTGCTCTCTTCCTGTAGATGCTATCTATCTCAGTGTCTCAAGCTGCCTTAAACACTGCGCGTTTCCAAAGTCTCACGGCCCCGCTCAAATTTTTTTTTTACAATTCAGTTCCACTCAAGAGAGGCTATTTTTTTCTTACAATTTTTCTACCATTTATTCAATATTACTGGCCACCTGATAATTTTACCAGCCTGCCTGCCTTATAATCTTAAATTCCAATATTAAGCTCCTACATACTTACTTAATTCTACAGATAACTTTTACTATAGTCCAGATCTCAAACCACAAGGCAAAACTTGACCTTCAAGCTCCACAGAGACCTTGATATGGTTGTTCATATTTTAAATAACACTTACAGTTCTGAGACAGACAAATCTACACAAGGTGAAGCTACCTGTCTCCCCATCATGGGCCACACTCAAATTCTTCAGAAGACATCAGACAAAATCTCCCATCCTGGCATTCTTTGAGACCTTATTCCAGGGCTGTTGGGCTATCCTGGCCACCAGAGAGTGGCCAGGCCATCCTAACTTGTAGCCCTCACAGGTCACTGCCAAAAGACCTTACTCCGGGGCTGTTGGGCTATCCTGGCCACCAGAGAGTGACCAGGCCATCCTAACTTGTAGCCCTCACAGGTCACTGCCAAAAGACCTTACTCCAGGGCTGTTAGGCTATCCTGGCCACCAGAGAGTGGCTTGGCCATCCTAACTTGTAACCCTCACAGGTCACAGGGTCCAACCGCCTTAGTGGATATCTGTCTCAGAATCCAAGTCATATTAAAACTCTCAAGGTAAGACATTCTCTATATTCGTGGACATAAGAGGCCACATATACAGAGTTCTGAGTTTTTTAGGCTAATAAATCCTCAATGTCTCACGGAGTATTAAAGGTCAACCTATGCCAGTTATAAACAGGGCCTATTTTTATGCAGGTCCCAGTCCTAAATCTTAAAATGCTTTTATTCCCTTTTAAACTGCCATCCTGGTTTCACATCACTCAGGCCCTAGATCTAACCATCCTTTTGATACTCATCTCTGCCTTACGATTCACAGGTTGTCATGTTTTGTTGTCCAGTTTGGTTCTTAATTTCTTACATTCTATTAATGATAGCAAGACTCTCTAACAGGATTGCCTACAGACTCCAACATCATATATACCAGAGACAAGCCTTACCTACCTACCTTTTAACTTTTATGCTTTCATATGGGGGAGTAAGCACCTCTCATAACTTCACTCCTCCTAATCCCACATTTAATTTTTCAGAATTCTGCCTTGCCACCTCAACGTCATCCTGATAGAATAACAGGTCTAAATCAAAGACACCTTTCCCTCTACCTCACTTGGGTCCATAAATATGACAGTGCCATGTCTCCTCATAACATCTTGTCTCTTTGTTTTTTCAGCCTAACATACGTGCATTCACCAGTGAAGTTGTCCTGGCTAAAACTCCTGGCACCAGCTTCTACCTTGACATCAACCGTCATCCCGTCGATTCCCCTAGACCCCAATACAGTGCCCTCAGCCAGCAGGAAGTAGTTACAGAGAGAAATCTTCGCTCCTTTTCCTAATAATCATAAGATGGGATATGAAAGGGTTGCTGGCCCAGACCGGACACTTTAGCCAGGAAAAGCCTCGGCCGGAATTAGGGAGCTCCTGCCTCCCCCGCCCCTAGAGATTTACCTGTAACCCTATACCCCCACCCTTACAAACCTACCTCTGGCACCAAACTAAGACCAATGGGCTACCTGTGCATCCCTAATACCCCCTAGGTTCCACCCCAGGCTGAGGCTACTTATGTGCCTCACTCCACGTGTTCCAGAGAGAGATTGCCAGCCCTGAGGTGGAGATGCTGCGCCCCGGGGGGCCGGGGGTGAAATAAAGGTTACTTATATTTTACACTTCTTATCTTTTCAGCCACCGCTGGCCAGTCCTTCCCCCTCTTCCCCTTCTCAGACCTATCAGGTTGTACTTATCTGTCAATATAAAAATGCAATTATTTTCTTCTTTACAAACAGTCTGGTTTAATGTTCACTCTAAAAGTATTTTTTCTTTCTTTCTTTCCTTTATCAGTAAATGGGATTTTCTGGGTTGGCAAGAGGCTTTAATTATTTCCATAACTGCCATTCAGAAAGTGGTATGTGTGCATATGGTTTTAATATAGGGAAATGAATCTCCTCACCTTCTATGTCCGGCATGAGTTTGTGTTCTCTAAGATCGAAGAATGAGTTTTAGGAACCACAGAGGTTAAGAGCAGAATATATTTATTGAGAGAAAGAAAGCTTCTGTCTGAGAGAGACAGAAGAGGTCCTGAGTGAGTTGTCAAGGACTTTATCTTTTCCAGGGACTTTTATAGTGTAAAATCATGGAGTGAGACGGGTTCAAGGTGGGGAAAACTGGGAACTCACAGGCAGATGGGAATTACTGGGACAGAGTTACGTTTATCCAACAAGATTAACAGTCCAGGTAAAACTGATTACATTAGGGACAAATGGGGAGCAAGTCCTGTAGAAAGCAGGCATTCTTAGAGAGCAGTGACTCTTCCCTAGGGGGTTGGGATGGTGACTCCAGACTTCCTCAGGGTGATAGGGAACTATTTAGAATATCAGTCCTTAGATATGGATGCATTTGCTTAATCTTTTGTCTTGAGGCTTGACCCACAGCTTGAGGGGCCTGTCTCTTCCACAGCTGCAAGGTATCTGGGCTTCTGCACTGGCTCCTTTGAGGACCCAGCCCTGTCTCATTGCCTATATTATTTCTAACTAACTCAGCTGCCTGTAACAGTTTCTACATGTTTTAAACTTAATTCTGTGAAAACTTTAATATTTCTATAACCATTTTGAGAATAGAAACTCACTTATGTGGCTGGCACAGAGCAAAAAGAAGTCATTAAGATACTGACTACAATTTGTTTCCATATATTTCCTTAGTGAAATAAGTCATGTATTCTGTATGACATAGGGCCTCCAAACGATATAAGGGAAATATAATTCTCAACCTGCTAGATGCCCCATAACCTGAGTCTGTGCTCCCCAAAACTGAAGAATGAATCTTAAGGAACAATAGAAGAGTAGCAAGTTTTATTGAGGAAGCAATAGCACCTGTGAGAGACCCAGAACGTGGATTGCCAGGGAGACCTTCTCAAAGGAAGTTTTATACAGCAAAATTACAAGGTTGGTAAAACAAGAACAAAACTATAATCAATCGATAAGACTACAAGTACACTCATTTAGTAATATTGACCCAATGGAGAAGTAAGTCACATAGTAAGTGTAAGTGGAAAGAATGTCATTTTTTTTTTTTTTTTTTGGAAGAGACGGGTCAGGAGGTCCCCTATCTGTGAGACTGATATCTATGTAGAAGATCGTTATTGTTTATCCTTCAGGAAGGTATGCAGATGTAGGCATTCCATCTTTATCTTGAGGCTGGGCCTTCAAGGAATGCAGTCCAACCACAGCTGTAAAGTGTTATTTCTGCGTTGAATCCTTGGCGGGCCCCGCCCTGACCCACTGTAATATTTCTACCTAACTTTGCTGTCTATAATAGTACGCTGGGATTTGTGTAAAACCCTGAGTTGCCTGTATACCTTATAGTAAGCATTTGTTTTTCTTTTGGGACGTGGTGTGTGTGATACTCACCTCTATTTTGACTTATCACATTACTCAGCTATAATCTGCACCATTCTGGAGGTTACCAAGATAAACACCTCATTTCTTGGATGGATCGCTTTTTGCAGGCTCTTTGCAAAAAGAGCTCAGGCCCAAGTGTCTGAAGAATCACGATCCGTTTCTTTGCGCGGAGTCAACGCAGCGGCCCTCAACTTGGACGCCAGTCCACCTTGTCTGGAGAATGCCCCTCCCCCGCCAAAATTTTTTTTAAACGGAAAGAAGTCTCCCTAGCGACCCCCACGCAGATCCCGAGCAGAGGCCCCGCTGCCAGCAAGGCAGCCTCGCGCGGGGTCTTCTGGGAGGCCGCGAGCTCTGCGCGTGCGCGACGCCCCCGCCCTGGGCTAGGCTTTGTCCGGCGCCCCGGGGGCTCACGGCTGCTCCGGTGTCAAAGGAGCCGCCGGGGCAGGGCGGTGGCCGAGGGAGCCTAGGCTCTGCAGGTGTGTCCGAGGCCCCTGCCGCAGGCTGCCAGCGAGGGGACAGGTCGGCCGAGGGGAAAGAGGGGTAGCTCGGCGCGGAGAGGGGGTCGGGGCGACGGGGTGACCCCGGGGTTCGCTGCCGGGAGTGGGGCCGGGGGAGGGCGGCGGCTGTCGCGAAGGTGAGCTGCTCGCTCGCGCTGTCACCGGGTCGCTGCGTCCCACCGCTGTCAGGTTCGGGCCGCGGGACCCTTCCGGGCGGTGTCACGTCCAAGTTCGCGGTTTGCAGCAGCTGCAGCCCCGCAGGCTCCCAAGCCTCGCTGGGCCCCGGGGCCTGCGACTGCCTGGCGCCTGCGAGACCCAGCTGCGGGGTGCGCACAGCGCGACCCCCGCCACGCAGCGCTCGGGCTCCGGAATCTCCGGCTCACCCATCAGTTTTACGCAGGGGATGTGGAGTGCTGAATGAATAAACCCAAACTAGATTGAGCTTTCAGTTTTTTAAGTTTTACTGAGAAGCTGAGAGCCCTATCCAGGCCAAAAGTTAGTTTCTAGAGAGAGGAAATGGAAGATTTTTTTTTAATCGTAATAACTATATTCATCCTCGTAGTATCTGGGCTGCTCTGGCAAACCGATAATGGTGTCTCTTGCTTATGAAAAGGGCATCGTTATGATAGCTAGTTGTCTCGCTGCACACGTGAAGTGCCCGTTTGGGATTCTGGTGCCAACTGCTGTTTTAGAAGATAGATCTGTGTCCGTGTCAGCCAATTAGGTGACCATGTTAGAGTCTATCAAGGCTTTATCAAATTTTACCCCAGACCCAACCTGAATTTTGGGAGGACAGTGACTTCCTCGGTATTGTCTAGATTTGTGGGTGAATGAACGCTTTAAAAGATCATAATGGTACACGAAGGGTTTTTGAAGATTTTGAAATGATTTTCGAACTATGGGTTTATAACATTAATAGAAAAAATTATCACACATAATTTTAAAAGCTTCTAGTATCAATAAAATATTCACTTCAGCAGCATCTATGATGCCAGACAAGAGTTCCATGTTTGGATATATATTCCTTTTTTTCTTTTTTCTTTTTTGAGACGGGGTCTCGCTATGCAGTTCAGGCTGGCTTTGAGCTCACTTTGTAGCCCAGGCTGGTCTGGAACTCGCAACGATCCTCCCACCTCAGCCTCCTGAGTGCTGGGATTACAGGCGTAAGCCCCCAAGCCCCGGCTCATATTTGGATATATTATATGCCTTATTTAACCCTGTTATTCGGGGTTTAGCTTTTTAATTTGTTATTCAGTGAACAGATACATAGGTTTCAAAACAGCCAATAAGAAAGAAATGTTTAGATTCACTCAAAAATGTCCCAAATTCAAGATTGTGTCAGAGTCATCAATGACAGATTGTGTTATATAGCACTTCATTATCTTTTCCTGTTCTTTCAGATGGGTCAACTGGACATTCTTTAGAAGGTTATCTTACTAAAATGTTGTGTGGAAATTTCTCACAGGTGATTCGTGGAGCTGCAAAACACTGTCTTTTATGACTTTTCTCTTCCAGCTTTCCCTGTTCTGGCCTCATAGTTTCTACCCTTTCCCAAGATCAGCAAAAAATGAACAAGTTCAAAGTGAGTCATGTTTTTAGCCCTTTGTTTCATTCTGTGTGTGTGTGTGTGTTTAATGAATTTTTTAAAAGAGTCTACATATGAAACTAGAAAAGTAGAAATAATTAAAATCACACTGGCAGAAAATACTGCTTGAATGAAACAGCAGCTGTCCACAAAGTGTGATCTGCTGAGTGCTGGGAGCACTAAGACCTCCTTGAGGGCTCTGTGAGGTAAGAACTTTTAGTACTAAGGTACAAACTGCCTTTTGCCCTGATGGTGTGAAAGCAATAGTAGAGAGATTGCTGCCTGTATGGTATGAGTGAAGACAATGACATTAATTTATTGTAATTCTTTTCCTCCAAAGGACTTAGTAAAAATTTCACTTAACGATATCCATAAGGAAACAGTAAAAAGTATTAAATCTTGACCCGCAAGTATGCAACTTTTTTTTTTAATTTTTATTTAAGGAGAAAAGAAAAGAAAGAAAAAAAACAGTGAAGGGGTACAAGTTATACAGATTTACAGAATAAAAAAATGCGCAGTAGGAAATCACTAGTTAATGGATTACATATTGCCATCTTAGAAATAATTGTTCAAGTCACAAAATTAAAGCTTGTAGACTGCATGCAACAAAATGGGAAGTTCACATAAAACCTTTCTGCTGCATTCTGCACCGTGGTGATTGGTTGTTAGGCAAGCATTTGTTTGACTTGTGCACATGCATTGTCATTTTTTAACCTTTTTTTTTTTACTTGAACAACTGGTAAACAAGCTATGGTTATTGATCCTTTTGTATTCAGCATTTTCTCAAAAGTGATAAAGTGAGCCTGCCACTTTAAAGCAAACATCACTGTTGGTTTCAGTACTGGAAATTGAACCAGGGGCATACTACCACTGAGCTACACCTCCTTTTGAGACAGGTTGTCTTTGTTGGCCTAGGTACCACAGGCTTGGCCTTGAACTTGAGATCCTCAGTGTTAGAATTACAGGGTGTGTTGACCACACTCAACAGTATTTTTTGCAAGTGTTAAAATCTGAGCTTTAGGGCAAAAAATGACGATTTTTGGATAGCCTGTGTCCTCCATTATGAACCTGAGACTTTCCTACTAAAGACTTTTCTAGGAAGGATGATGTTGAGACTACAAGTACAATTTTTAAAATATTTAATAAAATGCATCAACATTTGAGTAGTGTTTCTGTTTTTTGTTTGTTGGTTTTGTTTTGTTTTTTTTTTGGTGGTGGGGGGGGTATCAGGAATCGAACTCAGGACTTCACACTTGCCAGGCAGGTGCTGTGCTGCAACTATGTTCCCAGCTCCAGTGAGTAGTATTTCTGAGACATATGCTCAGAGGCAAACTCAAGTAGTTTGACAGGAGGGAACAATATAAAGAAGTGAGAAATGGGTTGTAGATTTGTTAGGGAATGCGTTCTGAAAGGCAGTGTTTGAGGAAAGTGCTGAGTTAACTGAGAAGGGGAGCTAGGTAGGTATCTAAGGAAGAGTAATCTAGATGGGAGGAACAGCCAGTACAGTCTCGCTGAGCCATGTTCCAAAGTGAGTTTAGACACAGGAGAGAGGAGACTTGGGAGAGACTGATGAGACTGAAAGCAGTGAAGTAGAGGAGCATGGGAGATACAGGGCTTTTAGGCTGTAGAACTGTTTTACCTTCACTTAAAAATTTGATGTGCTCACTTTTGCAGCACATATACTGAAAAAATGTCAAAGTTATCCTTTATACAGAGGACTATACCTAATGCACATATACAATTTAGGAAATATACTAACACCAGTGCATCCCCTATCATGCTTAAGAGGTGAAAATTACAAGTACCTTTGAAGCGCATGTACTGCACTTCTTTGATGTCATCCTTACCGTTACCCACAGAATGAATGCTGTCTTCTGTAACCTTCAATGCTTTATTTTATTTTATTTATTTTTTGGTTTTTTGGGTCAGGATCTTACTATGTAGGACAAGCTGGCCTTTAACTTGCTGATGTAGCCCAGGCTGCCCTCAAAATGCATGGCAGTCCTCCTGCCCCAGCCTCCCAAGTGCTGAGATTATAGGCAGGTACCACCACAACCTGCATTATTTTTAGTTTTTTTTTTTTTTTTTTGAGACAGGGTCTCCTTATGCAGTTCAGGCTTTCCTTAAACTATACCGCTAGCTGGCCTTGAATTTCTGGTAATCCTCCTTCCTCAGCCTCCCAAGTACTGGGATTACAGGTGTATACCGCCATACCTGGCTCACTGCCTTTTAAAATTTAGTTTTTTGTCAATAAAATGTGATTATCAATTAAGTAGCCACCTCTCTGGTAAGTACTCGTCTTCTCACATAATCCTCACAGTCACCTTTTGAAAAGTTATTACCGTAATACCAGTGGGCCTTCACGGTGAATTTTAGACTTCATATTGTTATTATTCAGGATCACAGCCATTACGCATGTTGGTGGGGAAAAAAAACTAGAAGGAAGGAGAAAAAAATAAGAGGGAGCTAAAATTTAACCTGTTGAACAGAATCTATTTAAAGCAGACCCTGCAGTTCTGTTTCAATCTTTTTTTCCCCCTTTGGTACTGTGGATCGACCTCGTGCTTGCCAGGCATGTGCTGCGCTGCTGAGCTGTATCCCCGACCCTGTTTTAATCATTCTTGAACATAATTTTATCTTTCATATAAAATATTTCTTATCCAGAATTCACTGGAGAATTCACACAGTGCTTTCCCTGACTTAGGATCTGAAAGTAACTAGTCAATGGTCCATGACGGGAGAAATGATTCATGAACCTGTGTTTGTTTTTCCTGAGGCCATCTCACGCTTGCCCAGCTGCTAACTTCTGAGCTCAAGTGATTGTCCCCTCTCCTCCTGAGCAGCTGGACTGTGGGACCCAGCTCTCCTCTGGAGTAATTTTGAGTGCAGTTGTCATTACCAAGGCCTCAAGTTTTTTGTTTGCTGCAGATCTTGAAATTTTTTGTTTGTTCATAGCCATTTTAGCCACAGTAGGATTCTTTTACTTCTCTTTGTTCTGTCTTTCAACTTCTGTTGGCTACTTTCTTCTGTATGAAGACATCCTTTATAGTCACTGCTTTTATTTTGTTTGTTTTAGGGAGAGTTTGCTGGTAGAAACCTCAGTCTTCTTTATCTGAAATATTGATGAAAACTTCATCAATATTTTATCAATATTCAAAACTGATTTGAGTATTATATCTCCTTTATTGACAGTTAAACCTATTTTTATGTTAGTTTATGGATTAGTCTGGAAATTACAATATACACAATTAACTTATTCAGTATCTTCAAATAATATACCCTTTATTCATAAGAAGTGAAATATATTTTCAATAGCATAATTCACTTGACACTCCTTCACTCTTTGTGACCTTTCTCTTACAGCTCACTTCTCATATTTTTAACTGTAAATACTTACTTTTGCTTTAAATAGTTACCAGTTTTTGAAAGAAACTTATGTTCACATGTGCATAAATCAAATAGTGTTTTTTATATATATCCTTTGGGTACTCCTTATTCTTTCCTGCAGATCTGATTTATCTCACTGATATCTTTTTTATAAACCTAAATAACTTATTTTATCATTTCAGTACTAATAGTGACAAACTCACTGAATTTCTAAAAATGTTTTTCACTTTGATTTTTGAAGAATATACTTCTTGAATTCAAAACTAGGTAACAAGTTTTCTTTGCTTCTGCACTTTTAGGATATATTTGTCTTGTGTGGTTTCTTATTCCCTTGAACATAATTGCACTTTAGTTTTTTAACATTAAAAAGTGATGCATGCAGGTATGATTGTGTTAATCCTTCTTAGAGCCTAATAAAGATCTATAGATTCTTGCCTTGCCTTTTACTATTTTACAAAATACTTGGAGCTGGGCATGGTGGCTCATGCCTGTAATCTCAGTACTCAGGAGCTGAGGCAGGAGGATCACAGAAATTTTGAGGCCATCCTGGGTTGTATAGTGAGTTTAAGGCCAGCTTATACTACATAACATTTACACACATATATACAAAAACACTTTGGTACTCATCCTTCAAATATTCTCTTTTGTTAGGATTCCAGTCACATAAATGTTGAAATATATATATACATATATATATATATACACACACACACACACATTATTCTAAATGCCTCAAATGCTGCATTTAGACTGGGATTTTTTTGTTCTTTTTGGATGATTTCTGTTGAGCTGATTTTCTCCAATTTATAGTTCCCTTCTTCTGCTCTACCCATTCTCCATAATCTCATGAAATCTACTTCTGATAATATATTTTAATTTTTTCTCTGATAAATATTCCCATCCTTTGACCTATATCATCTGTCTTACTAGATTTTTATCATAATTACTTTAAAGTTTTTATCTGCTAATCCTAACATCCTAGATTATCTGTGGGTCTGTTCCACTTGGCTCCATTATGTAATATGACTCAGTTTTCTACTTCTGTGAATGTCTCATAATTTATTACTAAATGTTGGACACTAGAAGAAGTGTTTAGAAGAACAGTAGATTCTTCTAAAAATGGAGGTAAATAATAACACCAGAAAAATGGTACAGCCCTTTCTCTCTGGTTGCTATGGAAGCTTGACAGATTTGAGCTGGCTATGGACTTCAGTTAAGATTCAACTCACTGATCTCCATTGATTTGAGGCAGTATTAAGGCTTGGGTTGTGACACCAACGACTCCATCCTCATTTTAGCCTTACCACTAGCTGTTCTTTGGGTGACTGAGAACTTTCTGCCTGATAAGCAGTGCTTTCCCCACTGAGGTATCCCCACCCAGAATGCCGCTCCTAGCTTTTGGAGTTTGCTGGACTCAGGCAAGGCCCTTTGGGAATAACTGGTGGGTATCTGTATTTTAGAGCATCCAAATGTATTCTGGAGCCTCCTGTTGGGTACCAGAAACTGCTTCCCCATTTGGACTAAACTGACCATTTAGAGATATTTGAGAGGAAGTAAAACTGTCCCATAGTCAGGCAGCTTCTATTGGAGACCTCTTCTATATAAAATCCCACTTAGTCACCAGGTAATATCAAGAGCAGATGGTGCGGTCACTGTTGACTTGCTCTGTGCCTGGGACTTTCACAGATTCAAACCCACAAGCAAACATTAAAAGTCTGTTCAGAGTTCATTTTCTCCAGCTTGTTCCCAGAAATGAAAGTAGTTGTTTTCTCTGCTGAAGTATCCTGATCTGAATTTCAGCCTTTGTTCATCCGTCTCAGTTCTCTGATTTTAGAGACCTTAGAATTTCCTATATAAAGGGCTTATTCTTTCATTGGGGTGAGATAGTTTATTTTTTGACACTGTATATTCTACTCAGAACTAGATTTTTTTTCCTTATTCTAGAGATGCCTGTTCTAAGCTGTTTTGTGCTGACTTCATCCTGGCTATGAAACTTTGAAATGCCTTGAAAATTCTAAAGCAGCAGTATCTGACTTACTCCAATAGATTTTCCTTTCTTCCAAGACCTTAATCCTTTAAATCTTGCTGACTTATAACTTCAGTTTTCATATAGCTATTTTTAATATGTTTGGGTGGCTTTGATTTTTGTCTTTAATTGTGGTAAAATGTTTATAGTATAACATTTTCCATTTTAATCTCATTAATGTTTCATTCAGTGGCAGTAGGTACATTTATATTGTTATGTGGCCATCACTGTTACTCATCTCTAGAGCTTTTTCTCATCCTACATGTTATTAAACAAAAACAAACTCTCTGTTCTTTTCTTTCCCCCAGCCTCTGGCACCTACTACATTATTTTGTCTCTGAATTTGACTAGTTTAGGCATTTTATGTGTGTGGAATCTCATGGTGTTTGCTTTTCTCTGGCTTATTTCATGTAGTGTAATGTCTTCTCAAGTTTCATCCATGTTTGTAGCACAGGTCCAAATTTTCTTCCTTTTCAGGCTGGATACTATTGCATTGTCTGTTCCACAGTATGTTCACTGTTCAGGGGCACCTGAGCTAGCTCTCCCTTTTGTTTGTTGTGAATGTTGCTGCTGTGAAGATGGGCATTCATGCTGGGCATGGTCGCTCATGCCTGTAATCCCAGCACTCGGGAGGCTGAGGCAGGAGGATCGTTGTGAGTTCAAGACCAACCTGGGCTACAAAGCGAGTTCAAGGCCAGCCTGAACTGCATAGTAAGAGTCCTTGATTTCAGTTCTTTGGATATCTACCTAGAAGTGGGATTGTTGAGCTGTACAGAAGTTCTTTGTTTGCTACTTTTGAGGAGCCACTCTATTGTTTTTTCAGTGGTTGTACTATTTTACATTCATTTGTTTAAATTTTGAGTTCTAATTTTTCTGTTTTTTTAATAATAGCGCTCCTAGAATCTGGGTGTGCTTTTTGTTTGTTTGTTTTGGGCTGTTTTTATCCCCTTATTTTGCCAATGATGTACTCTTTATTCCTAAAATTTACATCTATTTGACTAGCTAACAAAATGAAACATAATACAAAATGCAAATAACTGTCCCTCTTGTATCTAGTATGTATTTGTCATAGCACCTTCTATACACATTATCTGCAAGGATTTATGTCTTTGACCCCTTTCATAACATAAGTTTGATGACAAGAATAGTTGCTTTTATTATCTCTGTATCTTTAGCAAAGTTATAGACCCAAGAGGTGGGGTCTCAGCAAACACGTATTGAACAAAACACCTATCTATGAAGCAGGGTACAGGATACTGGACTGCATAAATTCTACTGTCAGTATAGTAGGGTCTAATTTAGTATGTATCCCTCACTGTCTTTCCCTTCCTTCCCTCCTTCCCTTCCTCTTCTTCCCTCCCATTGTCTCTTTATCCCTCCTGTCTTCCTTTCACTGGAGATCACAGCTAGAGCCTTGTACATGCATGGTAAACATTTTACCAACAAGCTATACCCCATTCTTAGTTTCTTTTTGGTTGTACTCTTTCCCTGGTCACCACTCACTTCAGATTGAACTGAAATATGTTGTTCCAGGGACTTGTGACATTAAAGGATGTTACCGTGGAATTCACCAAGGAAGAGTGGCAATTACTGACTCCTGCTCAGAAAGCCCTGTACAAGCATGTGATGCTGGAGAATTACAGACAGTTGGTCTCAATAGGTGAGAAAGACTTCCCCATATGGAACTACCAGTAGCTTCTCCTTCTCTTCCCTGTTGCTCGAATTTAGGATCGAATGATATTAGCTTTGTTTCAGGGTGAACATAATGAATCCATTTTGAGTACTAGCAAAATATGTGTCCTAAGTGGGGTCTTCATTGCTTTCCTGAATCTGTACTTCCTTACAGAGTCTCTAAATTCCAAGCAATTTGTATCATTTTTCTTATCTTTTCAATTAATAGGTTACCGTGTGAGTAAGTCAAATGTGATCCTGAAGCTGAAGCAAGGAAAAGAGCCGTGGAGACAGGAAGTGAAACTTCCACGTCGCAAGGCCTCTGGTGAGTTACAGGTTATACCTCATGTTATCAGAAGGGGTTGGTGTTCCTGCCTTTTGAAATATTTTTGAGGAGTCTCTCTGAATTCCTTGTAGTCTAGAAATGATTGCAGATACCTTATCTGTGTATTTTAGAATCTTAAATCATGTTCCCAATTTTTGTTCTTTCTACTTAAATTCTTCCTTGCTATACATTTAAAAAATAAATTTAGTTCTTTTTCCTGTATACGAAATCTAATCTCTCCCTAAGAATCTCTCCCTTACCTGAGATTTTCTGCTTTTCTAGAGAATTCCCAGTTACTCTCTATCATTGTAGTGTGCAACTATAGTTTTAAAATCTGAGTTGTAGATGTGTTTTCAAATGACATCTCCCACTTTTAAAGTAACATGACTTTGTTATTTTTCATACCAGTTTTAACTACATAGTTTCTCTTTAAACCTTAACTATTATAAATCAATAAGCTGCTCATCCATTATATTATTTCAATGCAATTGATCTTTCAATATGCATTTATCTTTTACATGAAGTACTGATTACCTTTCTTAAAATCTACTGTACTGAGCTGGGGATTTAACTCAGCAGCATAAGCGCCTGCCTTGCAAGTGCGCAGTATCCCCGGTACCAATAAAAAAAAAAACTACTGTACCTTTTCTGGGGTATTATGATGCCAAAATGACACCAAACTGCTTCCTTAAATGTTTTTATGACATTTGCACTGACATACTTGCACTGACATTTTGCCAGGATCAAGAAAAAGGCCTAGTACCTATTTGTTGCTCACTAGATATTTGTTGAAAGAATGACTTTTGATTTAACAAGACAAAACTGACTTCTCCATTTTAGTCTTATTTGTATCCTGGTTCCATATTTTACCTTCTTACAACATGGTTCCATTGATCTCACCCTTTTCTTCCTACGATCAAGAACAAATCTTTTTTTTTTTTTTTTTTTGAGACAGGGTCTCACTATACAGTTCATACTAGCCTTCAAATAACTCACTGTATAGCACTGGCTGGCCACTGCAGAAATGCTCCTGCCTCAGCCTCTCAAGTACTTGCTTGTGGTTATAGGCAATCACTCCTGCATCCAGCCAAATTTTTAAATTCTCAAAAGCAGTTGTGTAATATAGCAGATTTATATTGCCACTGGCCTGTCCTGGTAAACTAATGCTGACTCACTGTTGTGGTATATATTTAAACTAATTTTTTTTTATCAAGAACAAGTCTCTGGTCCTGTCTTGGATATTAGCAGCTTATTTGTCCTTCTAGGCCCTAAACATGCTCATCTCCACTTTACCATTCTGTGACACGTTTCACATGCATAGAAACTTATTTCATGTGTATCCAAGTTAACCTTATATGAGTCCCTATCACTTTCTTCACAAATCTTATGAAATTTCAACCTCAAACCTCTGCTTAGAATCTTTTATTTTCATGCATTATTCTTTTTTTGTTTTTTGAGACAGGGTCTTCCCTTCTAGGCCAGGCTGGCCTTGAACTCACAGCAATCTTCCTGGCTCAGCCTACCAAGTACTGGGGTTAAAGGCATATGCCACTACGCCTGGCTACTTTCGTGCATTTAAAGATGTATATATGTGTGGTCTGAAAAGGTCCAAGAATAATGTTAAGTAATCTAATCTTTAGTAATCTAATCTTTAAGGATGATGACATAAATTGGAAGCAGAGACACAGCAGCTCAGATATAAAAGCAAAGTTTGAGATTTGTGCTGAATTGTGGATAATGGTGTTTTGAAAGTATAGGGTTTGGTAGTCAGGATAGGTACAGGATTGCAAATGTCAGTTGCTACAACTGGGAAGGCATCTGTTGTATAGATGGTTTGCCCTCTGCTTTTTTTCAAAATCCTTCTTTTTAGATATGTACATTTTTGGGTCTTTCTAATCTGGTGAAAATTAAACCATCTATATAGAGAGTGAAAGCCTAAGCTATAGTACTGTTCCTCTAAATATGAGGAAATGGATGACTGAGAAATACTTTAGTGTCCCTATCTGGGTTGTGGATAGATAAAAAGAATGTAACGTTGTTGTCCCTGATGTGCAGTTTCCCTTTCTATGGATTCAGTTGTCTGCTTTGTCCGGTGTGGGACATGAGAACTTCTTTCTCCGTCATACCCACGCTGTGTACATGGCCTACTTTCGTCACTCAGTAGCCACCTCAGATATCAGACTGACCATTTGGGGTTGCAGGGCTTATGTTTAAGTCATACTTACTTTACTTAATAATGGCCCCAAAGCACAAGGATAGGGATGCTGGCAATTCAGATAAGCCAAAGTGAACCTGTGAAATACTTTCTGCAAGTAACAAGGTGAAGACTGTGTGTGTGTGTGTGTGTGTGTGTGTGTGTGTGTGTGTGTGTGTAAGAATATAGGATACATAGTGCTCAGTCCATCTGGAAATGTGGCCCCTGAAGGTGAGAGGACAGCACTATACAAAGGAATCCTAACAGCAAGCCAAATGTGAGGGGGGAGGGGAGAAAGTCCTGTACTTTAGCTCCTTTATCTAACTTAAATTTTTCCTGATATTTCCAATATACACAGTTGTCTACTAATTTTTCTCATTCCACTTGCTGTTCATTGTCCTTAAATGGGATCACACCATTCTCTGGAATTCCCACATTGCTGCTCAGTGACACTTTCAGTGTATTTTGTTCTTTCATTTGAGTGTATTTTGTTCCATGTTGTTTTTGTCTTAGCTTTTACCTCTAAGTTTTTAAAGTCACATTTGTAAAAGTGGCAGGGATGCTTGGGCTTATAATCAAGTTCTTCCTGTGTCTTCTACAGAAGTTTTTAGTGTTTTATGGATTTTTTCCCAAAAAATGGGCAAAGATAGTTTCCATTTGAGAATTCTTTCATTTTGGTAGTTGAAGCCTAAGAGTCAACTCTATAAATATAGCAGTATGTTAAAATCTCAATCCCATTGTAGAAAACCTGGGGAATATCCATGATCCTGGAGCACGTAACCCAGAAAAGCCAGCTGGTAATTCAAGGTAAGTTCAACAATTAATTTTTTTTGATACCAGGGATTGAACTCATGACCTTGCACTTGCCAGGCAGGTGCTTACACCACTGAGCTAAGTCCCCGGCCCAACAATTAATATTTAAGATAGAATCCTTGATAAGAGTACTGGAAATGGGAGAGTGTTAGTTAATTCTGAATGTGGGAAAACTGACACGGGAGTGAATCCCAAAAAATGTAATCAAAATGGCAGTGCCCTTTTACATAGGAGACCATAGTAGGATCAGCAGATTCAAACTTGGAAGTCATCTTTTGCCTCTTCTGAATTATCCAAAGTAAAATGCAGGCAGCTGAGAAATCCTGTGGCTAGAGTGCACGTGAAGGCTCATTCTACCTGGTGCTAAACTGCAGTGTGTGAACAGTCACAGTGGAGAAACCTTGTGAACCTAGTGGATATGGAACATCTCTAGAGGCAGGTCCTCAGAGTTACTTAAAAAAATCTACACACACAGAAACAGAGAGAGTCTTAAAAGTCTTACTTTTCCCCATTAATGAATCTGAAACTTTCTATATAGGCCTGGAGAACTCAAAAAACTTCAGAAAACTCGTCACCAAATAGAAAGCTATGAATGTAATGAATGTGGAAAGACCTTCTGCCAGAAGGCTGCCTTCGTAGTACATCAAAATACCCACTTAGAGAACAAGTCCTACGACTGTAGTAAATGTGGGAAATCCTTTTCTAAAAATGAAGACCTCACGGTACATCAGAAAAGTCACACGAGAGATAAAACCTATGAATGTAAAGAATGTAAGAAGATCTTCTACCACCTGTCATCTCTTAGTAGACATCTAAGAATTCATGCAGGGGAAAAACCTTATGAATGCAATCAGTGTGAGAAATCCTTCTACCAGAAGCCACACCTCATGGAGCACCAAAAAACACACACAGGGGAGAAACCTTTTGAGTGTACTGAATGTGGGAAGTTCTTCTATGTGAAGGCATACCTCATGGTGCATCAGAAAACACACACAGGGGAGAAACCCTTTGAGTGTAAGGAATGTAAGAAAACATTCTCGCAGAAGTCACACCTCACAGTACATCAGAGAACACACACAGGGGAGAAACCCTATAAATGTAAGGAATGTGGGAAGTTATTCTCTAGGAATTCACACCTCAAAACCCATCAGAGAACTCATACAGGAGAGAAACCCTATGAATGTAAGGAATGTGGCAAATGCTTCTTCCAGAAGTCAGCCCTCACAGTACATCAGAGAACTCACACAGGGGAGAAGAACTTTGAATGTAATAAATGTGGCAAACACTTTTTCTATAAATCAGACCTCACTAAACATCACAGAAAACACACAGGGGAGAAGCCCTATGAATGTACAGAATGTGGTAAATCTTTCTCTGTGAATTCAGTCCTCAGATTACACGAGAGGACTCACACAGGAGAGAAGCCCTATGAATGCAAGGAATGTGAAAAATTCTTTTCTCAGAAATCACATTTTATTGTACATCAGAGAAAACACACAGGAGAGAAACCCTATAAATGTAAAGAATGTGGGGACTCCTTTATCCAGAAGTCACAACTCACAGCACATCAGAAGACACATAAACAGAAGCAGAAAGCTGACAAATAGTATGAGTGAGGAATATCTGTCTGAATTCATCCTTCAGCATAACCACATAGTTCACGAGAGAAAACAGATGCATATCATTAAGAAGGAAAACTTTTTAACTACACTTTTTCCTTGAGGAATATCAGCAAATGCACAGAGAAAAAAATTCTACACATTTATTAAGGAGAAGTTTTTACCACATGGTAGTCTTGACTGAATATCAAACAATATAGATGGCAGAAATTACAAATTGTAACACATGAAGAAAACTTTTACTTCAGGAGTCATACTTCACAACATAGAAATCACACAGGAGAAAAATTCTTAAAATGATTGTCAGGTTTTCTCTCAAGACAGCCAACACTGTGCATCCAAAAGCTCACATGTGTGAGAGATTCCTGAGGGCATCCTGAGTATCCTGAAGTCTTTTTACACAAATTGCTCTCATATGTTAGAAAATTCAACAGAGATAACTGCAAAGATTGCAGCAAGTATATGTCTTTATCAAGAGTTGATATTCATTGAATGTCATATCAATGTTTGGATAATACCTTTATAGATATTTGAAAGATTTTCACCAAAAAGGAAAAGAATTTGCACTGAGGGAAGCATTTATATTCTTAAGTCATTTTACAAATTCCAAGGTTGCATTTTCTTTTTTAAAGAAACCTGAAAATGTCTACATATGTAAAATTTTTTAAAAGCCAAAATGAGTAATCAGGCAACATCATTGAATACATATAAAGAGTTTTAGTGTAGGGCTTATGTATGTGAATATGCTACCAAATGTAACTCGTAGATGTTTGACATGCATGTGAACCCTTCCCTAGCTGTGTATAGTACAGCATGTCACCTTAGTTCAGTAGCTGTTACCTGTAGGAAGATGTGACCTGTTGTCTCACAGGTGACCTGTTGTTAATATGTACTGTCGTGCAATACTCTTTAAATTATGATGTATATATTCTGCCTTCTTCTTGGCACTTGTTAATGGATCTATACATTGATACTGACCTAACTCTTTGAAATGGAGCTAAAATGTTTTTGTCAAATGTTCAGCTCTGTGGAAAGCCAAATTTTGAATTAAGGACATTTATTTTTGCAAATGCACAAGCTGCTTTTGAAGCAGCTGAAAATAGTAAAATTATTGCACTCTACAAAATAAAAACTGAGTGCTATGCAAGAAACATTTCTCTTACCTTACTGTTGATGTCTGAGCAGGGCATAAGAGCTATCTGTGTTTTTTTCTGTATGAGTCCTAAATGTTCTTCCCTGCCTTTTTCATAGTTGAAGCAACGTAGCATCATAAAGTACAAACTCTGGACTCCTACTGCCTTTGTCAAAATGCCAGCGTGGGGTGGGCCACTCATCCCCTCTGTGCCTCAGTTCCTTTTCTGTAAGAGTAGCGTTACTTATATCATAGGATTGCTTTGAGATTGGAATGAGTTAATATGTTTAAAGTACTTAGGAACAGTGTCTCAGACTCAAGATATTATTAAATATTATAATTTTTAACTTACATGTCCTGAATTACTCTGCCAAAAAATGGTAAGCAAATATTATCTCACTTTATTGCTGCTAGTGCCTTGACTTTTTTCTTTTTCTTTTTTACTTTTTTTCAAGTAATTCAGAAGTAGAACCTGGCTGGGCTAGGACAGGGACTAACAAACTAGAGTCCATCAACTACATCTGCTCCAGAGCCCATGTTGTAGCCTACAAGCTGATTATAATTTTTATTACTAAATGGTTGAAAATTAAAGAATATTTTGTGGCATATTAAAATTATACTCAAATGTCAGTGTTCATAAATAAGGTGTTTTGGGAAAACTCACCCAAACCCTATTTCTTTATGGTTTGCCCATGACTGCCTTTACACTACATCAGCAGAGTTGAGTAGTTGTGACAGAGACCAAATGGAACACAGAGCCCAAGATATTAAACATGGCACTTTACAAAGTAAGTTTTCTGTTACCTAGAGCTGAAAACATTGTAGCCACTTACAAGTATACTTTTATAAACCTCATGTGTTTTAGCAATGATGCACACAGTAATTTGTGGGCTGGTAGTTTGTGCAGTATATTTATTTTATGCAGTATATTTATATGTTAAAAGCTTACACTTAGAAGTATTTTTTCAATGAAATGTGTTTTTTACTTGAATTGTAATATCAAAACAAAAAGCTTTTGGTGCAGTGTAACATATATGAAATAAAGTTATTTAAATGAAATTGAATTGAATTGTTAATTGATCCTACCTGCAATATTGCTTTATCTCCTTTCAAGTTAGTGGCCGGCTTCTCGTATTATTTTACAATTTTCTCATTATCCCATCATAAGGTATTATCTCTAATATTTAACATCTAATAATACACAATTTACAATACCTAATCTACCAGCTACATTACTAAAAACCCATAAAATTGCCTGAATTTTGTATATAGATACTGTGCCATTTAAAGAGGGTTCAACTTTCAATTTTTTGACCTTATGATGTTGCAAAATGCAACTGGCAATCAGTAAAAACCTTACTGCAATTTTTAGAAGTTATTCCCCCACCCCACCCCAGGCTATTAACAGGAGATACAATACTGAACTCACAGGGGCCGAGCAGCCACAGTGAGCCACAGCCTGGTTGGCCAGGATCACGTGAACAGACACTGGGTACTGTGTTGCCGAGCCACGATGTATAGTAGGGCAGGTGTGGTAAGTGCATCTTCAGCTTAAGGACATTTTTTAATCTAACAATGGTTTATCAGGATGTGACCCCACTGTAAGTTGAGGAGAATCTTTAACTGTCAAATGGTGCTCTAATCCAAAACTTCTGGTGTTTTCTTCCTCTTCCTAATAAAGATGACTGATGGATGCTGAATTTGTTAAGCATCCTTCATTGTTGATTTATCTAGTGAGCATCTAAATATAGTATTTAATTATTGCTTAGACCTGAAAAGATAGACTTCTACTCATGATGTAACTTCTGAACACGCTATGTAAAACATTACCCATACCTCATTCTACTCAGCTTGAACACAAACACACCAGCCTGGCGGCATTTAGTAGGTAACATCTACGTGTAGCTAGCCTCTCAGGGTAGGTCTTTATTTCAAGCAACTGTGAAAGAAAAGACATTTTCTAAATTTCCCAGTCTTCCCAATAAAGTTAGATAGAAGTTAGTAAGTACTTTCTGGGAACAAAAAGTGGCAAATTAAGTCTGAGCACATCCCTTAATCCCAATGCTTAGGAGGCTGAGGCAAGAGGATCACAAGTTTGAGTTGTGCATATACAATACAGTGCATGGATGGCAAGCCAAGTGCCCAAACTGCAACCTCATTTATTGCCAAGTGCTAATGCTACAAATTAAACCTGAATATCCAACATTTGGCTGCTGGGGGGATCCTGGGGTGGCTTGGCTTGCATGCCGACACAGAAGGCCCTGCATGTCCACTGTGGCACATATGCCACAGGTTTGCTGCCACTAATATAATGAGATGTTGTCTCAAAATAAAAATTAAAAAATATTTTGAAGGAGCTGAAGATATATTTTAGTGCTAAAGCCCTGGGCTCAATTGCTAGTGCCACAGAAATAGACAAAAACCTGTCCTGGCAAGAATACTTTTAACAAGCAATACTCTAACTGATGACAATAGAATGTTTTATTCTCCCAATTCAAGCCTGAGACTGTCCTTGGCTGTATCTTAAGCCATGAATTAGTCACCACAAAAACTGGGAAACTGGGGAAAAAACTGACCAGAGACAGCTGAACAGACATTAACAGCAGCTGCATAGACATGCGTGTCAGCACTGTGCTCCTGAAGCCAATCAACAGCAGCTTTCAAAGTGGGTTACAGCCTCTATCCCTGTCCACATTTCTATGATCAAGAGCCACCCAGTCCCTCGACACCACTGTTTTTAAAACCCACCAGTCCCTGAATTCCTTATTTCCCAAAACCTCGTATCACTTCTTACACTGTGAGTTACAAGCACAGCCCTTTTTAGGTTAGATTGATGGCTAAAGATGCACTATCAATTCCTTGCCTTGTATCCTTCTCTTCATAAGGGGAGATTCTCATGCCCATCTTTCATTCTGGTCTGGCCTGTGACTTGCTTTGGTTTAGGAAAATGGCAGAAGGGCCAGACTACCCATTAGAAAGTGTGCCAGCTTCCACTTTGCTTCCGGAAGCGAACATCTTTTGGATATCCTAGATAGCCTGCCTAAGCACACAGACAAATCTATCTTTTTGCCAACTATTACTGGGTTTACCTAAAAATATATAAAAATGAGGTTCATTGTTCTCATCCTATCTTCAGTTTCTTATTTGCTACACATATGCACCATATGTTAACATTTTTCCAGGGAGTGGTGGTGCATACTTGTAATCCCAGCACTTGAGAGGCTGAAGCAGTAGGACTATCATGAGTTTGAGGCCAGCCTTGGCTACATGGTGATTTTAAGGCTGGTAAGTAGCAGAGAAAAAGCGTCTCTGATATTTGCTGTCCAGACATTGCTTAAATAAATGCAAAGGAATTGAAATTATCTAATGCATATTATCAGATCACAGTGCAACACAATTAGAAATCATTGGCAAAAGATACCACAAGAACTTCATAAACACGTGGAAATTAAATAACACCTTCCTGAACAACCAATGGGTCACAGAGGAAATTAAAGAAGAAATTAGACAGTTTCTACGTTTAACAGTACAACACACCACAACTTATGGGACACAATGTGAGTAGTCCTATGAGGGCAATGTATAGCAGTACATCCCAATGTCAGGAAAACAGACCAAGCTCAAATAAACAACTTAACATTGAACCTCAACCTTCTAAAACAAAAAAGAAGGGGCTAGGGATATAGCTCAGTGGCATAAATGCCAGCCTGGTAAATGCAAGGTCATGAGTTCGATCCCCAGTACCAAAAAAAAGTGATTAAAAAAGAAGAGCAGGCCAAGCACAAAGCTCCTAAAGGGAGGAAATTATAAAACTCAGAGCAGAAATTAATGCTATGGATGCTAGGAAAACAGTCCAGTGAATCAAAGAGTTGGTTCACTAAAGATTAAATAAAATCGACAAACACTTAGTCAACCTTATCAAAAAAAAAGACTCAAATCCATACAACTAGGAAGGAAAATTGTGAAGTCACAACAGATTCTGCAGAAATCCAGAAGATTATCTATACCTTTAAAACTTGTATTCTTGTAAGAGGGAAAATGCAGAAGAAATGGACAGATTCTTAGATATGTATGAATTACCAAAGCTGAATCAAGAAGATATGAAAGTCCTAAATAAACCAGTATCAAGCAATGAAATTGAAGATGTAATTAAAACCCTGCCAACAAAGAGCCAAGACCTTGGTGAATTCACTGCTGAATTCTATGAGAAATTTAGTGAAGACCTACCACCACTACTTTTCAAACTCCTTAATGAAATTGAAAGGGAAGAAATACTCCCAAATTCATTCCTGGAAGCAAGCATTACCCTGACACCAAAAGCTGAGAAGGACCCTAAGAAAGAGAACTATAGGCCAATCTCCCTGATGAACACAGATGCAAAAATCCTCAATAAGGTAGTGACAAACAGAAAGCAACAAGTCATTGAGATAATACACCATGACCAGGTAAGATCCACCACAGGGATGCAGGGAGAGTTCAACATATACAAGTCAATAAAATGTAAAACGCCATATTAACAGAGACAGGGACAGAAACTGTGTAATCATCTTAATAGATGAAGAAAAAGCATTTGACAATGTCCAACACTCATTCATGATAAAAACCCTACAGAAAATTGAGTAAATGTCCTTTATCTCAACCTGATAAAAGCCATGTATGACAAACCAACAGTCAATATCCTAAAATTTATTTGGAACCAGATAAGACCTAAAATAGCAAAGGCAAGACATGGGGCTTCACAATCCCACATGTGAAATTATACTACAAAGCTGTTGTAATAAAAACAAGTGTGGTACTGGCAAGCCAAACAGATCTGAAGATCAATGAAACAGATTAGAAGATGCAGAAACAACTTCTTACCCAGCCACCTGATCTTTAACAAAGGAGCCAAACACATTCACAGGAAGATAGCTTCTTTAATAAATAATGCTGGAAAAACTGGCTTTCCATACACTGAAGATTAAAATTAGACCCATATCTTTCACCACTCTCTAAACTAAAATAGAAATGATAAAAGATCTAAATATTAAGACAGAAACACTAGGGGCTGGGGATTTAGCTCAGTGGCATAAGTGCCTACCTTGCAAGCAGGCAGTCGGAGTTCGATCCCTGGTACCGATAAAAACAAAAAAGACAAAAAAAAAAAAAAAAAAAAAAAAAAAGAAAGAAAGAAAAAAGAAAAAAAAGACAGAAACACTAAATCTGCTAGAAGATAAAATAGGTAGAACTCTTGAAGATATCGGTGTAGGCAACTGCATAAGAACTACCACAAAGAACTAACAACTGAGATCTCATCTTATTAAAAAGCTTTTGCAGAGTGAGAGAAACCACCAACACAGCAAACAGACAACCCAAAATGGGGAAAAATGTTCACTAGCTGTTCATCAGACAAAGGATTGCTATCAAGAACATATAAATAACTCAAAAAAAGTCAACCTCCCCCCTACATTTAAAGACACTGGAAAATGGCAATGAGATAAATACACCCTTCTCAGATGAAGAAGTATAAATGGGCAAATAAATACATGAAAAAATGTTCAATATCAATGGTCATTAGAGAGATGTAAAGTAAAACAATACTAAGATTGCATCTTGCCCCAGAAAGAATGGCTACCATCAAGAAATCAACCAATAACAAATGCTACCAGGGATTTGGGAAAAAAGGATCCTTCTCCACTGTTGGTGGAAATGTAAATTGGTGCAATTTACATTCAGTGTGGAGGTCCCTCAAAAAACCAGGACTGGAGGTTCCATTTGACCCAACTATTCCTTTCCTTATCTTCCTGAAAAGAATTTAAAGCATCATATCACAGCGATATATGCATGCAGATGTTCATAGCAGCATATTTTTTAATAGCCAAATCTTGAAAACAGCCCAAATGCCCATCAATTGGTGAATGGATAAAGATGTCATATTTTTCATATAATGGAGTACTTCTGTGCCCTAAAGGATACACTCAAGACATTTCTAGGTAGATAGATGCACTTTGAGACCATCCTCTTAAGTGAAATAAATCAGACACATGTGTAAATATCACATTGTTTCTCTGGTGTGAGAA